TCTTCAGCAGTTATGGCAAAGATACTTGTGGAGGCTGCTGAGCTGTGCAGCAGTTGGGAATGCCTGGGTTTTGTCAGCCCCAAAGAGCCCCAAACCTGGCTCCAGGGGCATGGAGGAGACCCCAGAGGGGTGGCAGAGAAGGGAGTGCCACCTGTGCTAGAGGCTTGGCACAGTTTTCTGCACCTCCATCTCTTCATCTGGAGAGTCGTGGTGGGTCTGGGGGGACACCAGAGCCAAATGTCACCATGGTCAGTGCTCTTGGTTCTAGAAATGGTCAGCTGGGAAGACCTGGAGAATAGGGGCAAAGGGGGTGAACCCCAGTCCTTCTGGCCCCAGCAGGGGTAGGATCACATCTCCTACGTCATCCCTGAAATCCCTGGAGGAACTCCAAGGCAGTCCAACCTGGAAAACCACAGCTACTTAGAGCTGCGCTCTGGAGCCCCCTCCAGCAGCCATACAGGTTTGATTTTTAACTCCTGCAGTCACCTTGGGTGTGTTTGACCCTGCAGGAGCCCGTGGGGACAGAACCCTCCCATGTGCAGTGGGGAGAGAACAGGGGCACCCAGGGCTGGCAGGGCAGCTTGGAAGGGGTTAATCACTGTGGCCAAAGGAGCTGCCCTGCTGCAAGATGCTTCTGTTCACATGAAGTAAAGGATTTCTTAAAAATTTGAGTGAAAATACTAATTTTAATAAAACAAGTTTATATAAAGGGAGCTGAAATTCCTCTGCCTGTGTATCATTGGTGCTTTGAAAACAATACAGGACATGGAGTACCCTTCAACCCAAGCCTCTCCCTGTTTACACCCCAAACATGGCTCATCTCTGTGCCACCTGCCTGGTAGGGGGCTTGTTGTGGGGCTGTCATACCCCCATCCCTAATGCTCAGTGCCTTCCTTGGCACTAAGGGTCTCATGGGCCACAAAGGTTTGAGGGATTGCGGTGGACTGAGCTGGTTCACAAGGAAAACAGGAATTCTTTTTGTTTATGCAAGAGATACAGCTCAAAAAGCCCCACTCAATTTGGGTGCTGTAAGCCCAGATAAAGACAAGGGGTGAGACCCTGAGATGCCTGTGCAGGGTGGCACAGCCCCCCCTGGGACACCACGCAGCCCCCACGCAGGAACACAGCTCACACACACCTGCACTCCAAGGACAAAATCCCAAATCATATCGTGCCAGTACCAAACACCACACACAGTACACAAACACCCAGGTATGGAAACATTCCCATAAAGCAGATAAATAAGGATGCTACTGAACAGGACTAGCACTATCTCCACTCTGACTTAGTAAAGAACTGATTCTTTTGGAAATTATGCATTAAAGGTCTTCCAAGTTTCATTTGGGCAGTAGTTGCTGTTGATGGATGTGGGTCACATCCCACAAAGTTTGAGCGCAGCCTAAGGAAAGAGCACAGATACTTCACAGAAAGAAACTGCTCTTAGCCCCACTGAATTACATGCTTGAAATCACAAATCAGGATTTGGGCCCACCACAAAACATGAAGATTATGAGAATGACATTTTATTACATTGCCTTTCCAGTCTTATCTAGCATTACAGGATCATTTTAAAAACATTTTGATCATTTCAAATCTGCAAATAGTGAGCAAGGACTGGCTTTAAACTCTCAATAAGGCAATTAAATTACACATATGTCCTGTAATGAAGACTCTAGGTGGCTAAAATTAGCAAAAACCAGGAGCTTTTCCCATCACACTTACCATCCACACACCCTGGTTCTTCAGTCTGAAGGCCCCTCAGGTTGCACCATCATGCACCATCATGCATACAAACAGAGCAATTCACAGAAAATGTTAAAATCTTATTGGGAAGTGTATAATTTCTAGACATGAGGCATGATAACCACTAATGGCTGCATGGTTTTGACCAAGCTACCTGAAAGAGCAGCAAAGAGGAGAATGGCTTCTCTTAATCACACGAATCATTGTCAAGCAATCCCTCAAATGAAGAGGAATACGATTGAAGTGCATTATTAAATGCTTTATGCAATAGTTAAGATTATGTGAAAGGCCCAAAGATTTTTAAATGAAATCAGCTCTGACTGAGGAAATGTGCTGTCATGAATGCAGTCTCTCCCTGCCCTCTTACTGCAGAGTTGTGTCCTGCCCCTGCTCTTGGAGCCTGCTTGTCACACCCTGGCCTACAGGAGGGTGCTCTGCAGGTACCAGCTTGCCTCCTGCCCACCCTGGAGACACCGAATGGGATTTTTCTGCAGTTCAAGGCTCACCAAAGCCTTGGCTACAGCTCCTTCAGGAGCTGCCCCAGTGCAGGGAACAGCATCCAGCTGCCTGCATGGCTTTTGCTGCCGTTGCCTTTCAGCATGCCCAATTGAGGGCTCCAAGGTGTGTGGGGAGGAGAGGCTATGGAATCACAAGCTCTTAAAAGTACTGATAACAAAAATAATTTTGTCCTATGAACCACAGTGGAAAGACCTTTCCAGGTCTGTTCTGCACCGGTGGGGTGGGTTGGAAGCACACTGCATTATCTGGAGCAGTTACTGCAGTCACACAGTGACTGGATTGTGAGTGCTTATCCCGAAGGCAAAACAGACGCTCACAGCCCTTGAATTTTTAGATATGTCAGAAGCTGCATTAACCTATAATACTTCTGAAATAAAGCACTTAGTACCACCATAGCAAAATTATACAGCTCATTTCATAGGAAAAAAAAATCAAGTCACAGTGAATGAAAAACACAGAGAGGGAAGTGATTTAAAGGCAACACCTTGCTAATGACAAGAACATTTCTTTGACGAGTGAGGTTATAAAGGAGCAGTCTGCAGTACAACTGCATCTTTCGGAAGCATCAAATATGCTGGAAAATAAACCAAATCTTCCATGCTGCCTTACCCTATTAGAAAGATGTTCTGGAAAGTTACCAAACACACACAAACACACACGTGTGTGGTTGCATGGGCAGCTGGTCCCACATCTCCCACGCAGGACCAAGAGGTCAGTTCCTGCCTGGAGACAGGGGTCACTTAGACACTGTAAGTGAACGGAGACCTGAGGAGCCTCTGCACTGCCCTGGGGGGCACAGGGCTGGGACCCCACCCTGCAGCACGGAGGGCAGAGCTGGCACAGACCCACCACCCCAGGGAACGGGGCACAGCCGCACCTGAGCCACTGTGCTCTGGTGCAGGATGTCTGTTAAAAGAATGTGCAGAACATTTGTTTTCTTAGAAACACTCTTTTTTCCACAGTCACTCATTTAAATGGATTCCACTGTGCCTGTTTTATGCCTTTCTTTATTCCAGCAGAGAATAAATTAAGCTTTGAAGTTTAGTGAGAAATCCTAATGGCATTCGACTTCAGTGCTATTGCCTGAATCCTGGGGAATTTAAAGAAAGGGGGAGAGCAAGAGGAAAGAAACCACTCTTTTATTATTTTCTACAGCTTAATCCTGAAATGGCTGACTTTGAAAATAACCTTAGTGCCTAACTTTATGCATTATTCATAAATACTAAAACATGTAAATACAGTTTTCAAAGGTTAAAATAAAACTCCTTTCCTGTACAGGTTACAATTATTTAATATTTTGACACAGCAACTTACATCATTAATATTAAACAGCACATAGGGGAAAAAAGTGACCTAAAACAAGCATGAACTTTTCTCATCAGTATGGAACATCTACACATTACCCAGAAAAGAGTCAGACTACATGCATGCATAAAGTCTTCCAAAAAGGAGGGAAGAATTAAGCATTTTAATTTTGTATAAAACTGTAGCTGCCTCTTTTCCATTGACTAAGAATGAGGTCAGTCAAAATGTATATTCGCAAGGAATTTCTTGGCACGCTAACAGTCTTGGGGGATCAAATAGTGGTGTTATTCCAGTTTTCAGCGTAATAATGACCACATAGTCAGAAATGGAAGATAAATCAAGGTGTATTTGATTACTACAACAATACATAGGATGCATCTAGAGTGTACCTTACACATTTTGTGGGCTGATTTAAGCCTGTGCCCTCCCCACAGCAGAACTTTGGTATAGCTGTGAGCCACAGGATAGCCCAGAGATGCAAATTCTGTGCTCTTTGGGCAGTGCCAAAAATATCATTTCACCCAGCACTGTCATGACTAAATTTCCTGGCTGAAGGATGAAGCAGGCCTTGTCTTTAAGCAAGTGTTCACTTCTTGTACTGTTCATTCAGAAAGGGAGAGACAACAACTTCTGCCTGTGACAACTTCTTCCCGGCTACAAACGGGATTAGTCCTAATTGCCAGGGACAGAAATCCTGTTAGGCTATCCAGCCTGGCTCTTTGGTAACACAGGATTCTCCCCAGGATTTTAGATTATTATCTATTGCCTTGTTTAGTCTATCTTCCAGTTTTGTGTTGATGTCCATACCTAATACCTGAGCACCTCTCCAGTTATTTACATTGCTGAGGAAGATCAATACATTTCATGGGCTCCTCAGCTCTCCATTCGGGCCACTCAAGGGAACTGGGGAGTGGTGCAGGACCAACTGTTAGATGGCCAACAAGAGCACCCTTCATCCTCTTTCTGCTCTGTCAAAAACTGCCTATGGAAAAAAGGCCATGTTCAAAGTGTCCCAAATTAAGAAAATAAACTTGGAAAAAACAAATAAGAACAACAAGAAAAATTGCACCTGCCAAAGCAGGTGCATCAAAAACTTGGTTTAGTTCAGACTACCTCAGCTTTACAAACCCAGTTCATGGTTGGTTGCTTTTGAGTGACTTCAAAACATCCTTTCTGGGCCTGTTTTGTTCCTCAGACTATTTACATTCATGCACCCACAAATTTTCTCTTCAGCTCTCTTATGTGGCAGCAATATGGGAGAGTAAAAAGGGTAAATAAATGGAAATTTCAAATTTCTTCTGGGTCACAAAACAAAATCTTCTGCTCAATCTCCAGCAGCATCAGAATTAAGTTCTGAGCTTTTGTAAACATAGAGGTTTGTTACAAACGCTT